CGAGGCATTTGAATACCTCAGGCGGATAGAAATAACAAAATAAAATCGTAAGCGTTAGCGTTTTCCAAAACATTTCCGTTAGGCGATTGGCCCCTGGCCCGCGTAGAATTTTTTCTAGTTTTTTTTTATATACTTAATTTTTTTTAAGTACCAAAGACAATTGGCGCGCACTAAAATAGGCAGGCCGCGCACGCATGTAACATGACACCATAGAGTACGGTAGACTCGCGGCAGATGCCTCCTGCCGCTACTTGTGCGTTCGTTGCCCGCCAACCGACGTTGTTTGTGCAAGTTTCCCTATTTAAGAAACGGCGGGATACTCAAATATACGAGCGAGATGAAGACGGATTTTCCGCTCAAATTGAAGATTGATTTGTTTTGTTCTAATCTGCCGTCCTCAAGCTAAAATGCGGCTAAATGACAAAAGCAACTTTTGAGATATGGCCAAAAACGGCGCGTAAACTTTAAATTATTGCTGTTATGTAACCATTCATCACATGACTGAATGAATTAAAAACTGTTAACTTGTTTAATACAGAAAATGATTAAATTATGTACCTGTTTTATGTACTAATGACTACTTAATAAATGATTATAAAAGAAATGACAACCTTACCCTTCTAAATTTTAAATAACTAGCAAACCAGTGAACCAAATGTTCACCAAAACCTGATTAAAAAAAAAGAAAAAAAAAAAAAGAAAAAAAAGAAATGTTTTTAATTAATTGAGAACTTCGGAGATTTTGTGTGGTTTCGTTTGAAATTCGTGATTTCTCGAAAACCGGAAGTGCTACGTTACTCAAATCCGGTTTGTAGTCTTATCAGACTATTCTTAACTTATAACTTAAATATTCTCTTTATCTATCTCTTACGGTTTGGCCGCTGAAACAGCACCACAGACAGAAGGACGGACGGACTTGTCTAATAGATAAGAGATTCAAATACACAGAATCACCCATCCATCTAATGACAGACCACTGCGAAAGTTGCTTAACTTCAACGATCGCAGCTGAACGCGCTATCCACTAGCGCGATCGTGCTTCTTACTTATTTATTAATATTATTATTATTTATTAGTATTGTATACAATATTGTTGGTGATAAACTTCGACCATCTTCCATTTATCACTATCACTATACTCATTCACATTAATATTCGGTAACTTTCATAATAAATAATGATAAACTAGTATATTAAAGTGAAAATTATTTTTGAATGGGGCGTTAATGGAAAAATCCTATGGAAAAGATGACATGGAAATACGTCACGAGCGTCATACGACTATATATATATATATATACATATATATCATCATCAGCCTATTAATGTCCCCACTGCTGGAGCACAGGCCTACCCTATGGATGGAATAGGGAGACATGACCCACCACGCGGGCCCAGTGCGGGTTGGTGGATGGTAACGACTGCAAATGCAGCCGGGACCAACGGCTTAACGTGCCTTCCGAAGCACGGAGGAGCTCGAGATAGTAATTTTTTGGTCACCCATCCAATGACCGACCACTGCGAAAGTTGCTTAAATTCAACGATCGCAACCGAACGCGCTAACCACTTGCGCCATCGAGTTCCTCGAGTACATATATGTACATATATATATATATATATACAGGGTTTGACAAAAGTCCGAAATAAAACTTTAGGGTTTGGTTGTGTTCCTTGTATAGAATTACCTATGAAAGTTTGACGCCTTTCAAACCACTTTTATTTTCTAACTAGTGGCCCGCCCGCGCTTCGCTTCGGTGTAGAGCTGTAGTGTAGACTATAGTTTTTGTTCTCAGGCTTGTATTATACACAATGACATTCTTCTAATACCTAATTACAATAGGCACGCGCCACCAGGTGCCCCGCCCGGTAGCGTCGGAACCGCTATGTCCCTGCATTTTAAATCTGTAATATCTTCGAAAATATTCATTTAAATTACATGCGTTAAATAGCCAAATTGGTCTATATTAAATGCACAATGTATTTAAGGTACTGAATTGGATAAGGAAGAATGTTATATTGCTGAAAATCGCTTCGTAAATAATCTATTATTTCTCGTAAAAAGTATAGGATATAAAATGGTTATTGTGGGTTATCCCTAAGAGATAGACAGATACCATGGCGGACTTTTTTGTAGACATTTTTAAGGTATACAATACTGTAGTACAATATTTTGATCGATCTCGTAGGGTTCAGCCAGCGTTTGCAATGTAAGCGGAAAAACTGTGTTTATTTACGACCTTACATTAAAAACCTCTAAAATTATCAGTGTTTCCAACCGTTACACAAAAATAATCCTTATTGCATGATTCAGTATTCACGTGCGACGGCGCGATGGCTTATTTCATGTATAAGTTTGGTGTTTATATACCGATTTCTATGATTCTTTTTTTTTTGAATAGGTAATAATGTTAACTTTTTTAAATTAGGGATGAGTGAGAGTATTATAAACGTAAGAGTAAACAAATATAATCAGAATGCTCCGAACTGATAAGCTATCAGGAGTTACACGTGTTATTGTGAGTCAACCATAAAAGATAGACATATGCTGTTGCGGGATATTTTTTAGACAATTTTATGTAGAATATTTCCGTCGTACATGATTTCTATGTAACTTTAACCATTAAGGCTGCACACGCGACGGAAGCTTAAAAAAAGAAGTAACTTCTACTGTTTTCCCAGCATTTCCCTTCACTACTCTGCTCCTATTGATTGTAGCGTGATGAAAAGTATACTATAACCTGCCCAGGAGTATGAAGAATAATTGTGCCAAGTTTCGTTAAAATCCGTCGAGTAGTTTTTGTTTCTATAAGGAACATACACACAGACAGACAGACAAAAAATTTACTGATTGCATTTTTGGCATCAGTATCGATCACTAATCACCCCCTGATAGTTATTTTGAAAATATATTTCATGTACAGAATTGACCTCTCTACAGATTTATTATAAGTATAGATTAAATTAATAAAAATATCCTTTTACACCTGCCTATGACAACTCTATAAATGCGTACGATTACTACTACCTAAACAGACCCCCCTCTCTCCCTCAGGTGCCCCTGCGCCCTGCTCAGATACCTACAAGTTTTTATTTCGGAATACATACTTACAAATTTTATTTCGGAATTCTGTAACACCCTGTATATGTATATAAATATAAATATATGTGTGTGTGCGGGATGCATGCTCAGCTCTTCCCGACGAGCATTCCAGTTGGAGGGTAACTCGGCGAAGGCTGAAACGCTACGAGCGTCACACACGACAATAAACAATATACATATACTATATGAGTGATGCGTCCGCTGCTCCATTCCCCTATGCCTTATGCACCACCTTATGTTAGGTTATTTAAGATAACAAGATTCACTTCAGATGTGTTAGTCTGTCTGTCCACACAATGTTTTTTTCATATTATCTCAGTATTGTTTCGTTAATCCAAGTTAGTCTCTTCTAATATTGACAGTTATAATAATCGGCCATTATTATTCGCATAACATCAATCTGAGCATCGCGATATCGAATAAGCCTTTTTAATCCTATCAGTGTCTATTAAGAGAAGAATTATAATAATTTTGTCTCTGGCATCATGTCACGATTTTGGCGCGTAGGTTTTTATGAGTTATGTCACTATTAAACTTATTCTATTTGCTCTCGCTTCGAAAGACGAGACAGACAGACAAGACAGACATTAACGTCTCTGAGTGTACTGTGCCATTACTTTACGAGCCCTAGATAAACCATGGGGATGGCCCCACTTCCATTGAACATTGTCATTCCGTTGACGACCGCCGACGTGAGAGGTTCCGGGATTGAATCCCGGTGGGGGCAGATGTTTGTGTGATGAATACGAGCATTTGTACTCCAGTCATGGATGTATAATATGTATTTCTATATAAATATACTTATATATGTACAGTATATGTAATCTATCCGTTACCCTAGCATCCTACAACACAAGCCTTACAGTGCTTACTTTGGGGCTAGGCTAATTGGTGTGATTGTTGGAAATATTTATTTATTATTTATTTATTCCCATTAGGCCTAAATCCCCTCGTAAATATATTGGCAATATTTAATATTTTCTTAAACTTTCGCATTTTGGCTTTATGGCGCCCAACGTGGGACCGAATTATGTAAATGATGATTTAATAGTCAAGATTGGGAATAAGATCGATAAGAGGATCGAATTAAGAATTAATGTTAGACAATTAGCCCCCCAATCACCTGTCGTCTAGCGTCTAGTTAGTCGTCTGTCTCTACCAGAAGGTTGCAAGAGTGACAAAAGATCAAGGGATATATTCGTTTTCCAGGCACATACATCGGGGACAGTAAGTGCATGTAAATTTTTTTTTTTTTTTTAACACTCACACCAATTAGCCTAGCCCCAAAGTAAGCACTATAAGGCTTGTGTTATGGGATGCTAGGGTAACGGATAGAATACATAAACTGTACATATATAACTTTTATATAGAAAATAAATATTAAACATCCATGACTGGAGTACAAATGTTCGTATTCATCACACAAACATCTGCCCCCACCGGGATTCGAACCCGGGACCTCTCGAGTCGGCGACACCATGAAACCCGGCGTACAAACCACTCGGCCACGGAGGTCGTCATGTGTGTACTAATAAGGACATATATACAAATTTTGGTAAGATAAAATTATTCCATTATGTAAAATTCAGGATAATTGGACCTAGCTTCTAAATTCAAGAAAATCATTGGTAAATAATTGGAATTTTCAATATGTAGACAACCCAAAGTGAGTTTGGATTTTGCTTCAACCCCCCTTGCGATTAATAGTTCAATGCCTTTCCGGCGAGTCTATTGTGGTAGGTCTGGCGCCCGAGTACTTTTTAATTTTATTTCGACCTATCCATATTGCTTTAAATCAATTTTTGTCTTTCCCATATTAAACCCCTTTTATATCTTTTTATATGACAATTTGGCTAAGTCCTGAGCATCAGTTACATAAAGATTATGAGGATTGACATACTTTCCCTCCTGAATCCTGTGTTTGTTGTGCCTCTCGTGGAAGTCCAGCAGTTCTGCGATAAGGCCTTCCTCCAGCATGGTGTCCACGCGGCTGTTCAGACGAAGGTCGTGGACACTCTGTGGAAACAGAGGAGTATAATCATTATCAGCCTATTAAATGTCCACCCACGCTCTCTCCCTCTCTTTCTCATGGTAAGGGCCTGTCCAATGCACATCTCCATATGAAATGAAATGAAACCTTCAGTGGCCATCTTAACAAAAGAAAAGCAAAACTTATAAATACAACAAAACTTAACCTAACGAACAAAAAATTAAAAAAGAACATAATCTAAAATGGCCAATCAGGACCCTGCCTCTGCTTATGCTGACACTGATACAGTGAGCATCCCACAAAATAATAAATAAAATAGTGTATATATATATATATATATATATACAGATAAGTGTGTGATCGGTTCCAAAGCACAAGTACATAAAAATCACTTGTTCAATCCTCAAATATCCATATTAGGTATTGATATGGATACTTGAGGATTCAGATATGAGAAACCAGCTTCCGCTTCCAGGCTACCAAATGTTGGAACGATTTGCCTCCATCTATGAGAAAACTGGCTTCCAAAGTCACTTTTAAAAAGCAGATAAAAATATACTTTTTAGAAATCCATAAATTAGACATCCCCAAGTTTTATGTGTGGCAGGGCAGCCACGTTTGCCAAACAGTTTCCGGGTATTACTTCTGTATATACTTTAAATAAATCATGTGTAATTATAGTTATTATATATATGTATGATATCATCCAATTTTATCTCGCCGACAATCACTTCATTATCAGACTCTATAATGTAGTTAATCTGTGCTTGTCTCCACTACATTGTCATGGCTGTTTTCTCTTTTCTCCTTGCAAAAACTTTTGGATGTTTATTACTAATAATGCTTATCTACTCACTCATAAAGGTGATCGCTGAAAATCGGTATTTTGCCTTAAAAATAGCAAATGTTTAGCCGAGCCTTGGCCTTTTGCTTTCTGCAGCATACGGATTTAGAGAGAACACAAGAAAATACTCGCTTCGTTTGCTTGCTCGCTCATTTAAATTCATATTTTAATAATTTATGCAAAACTATAATTCCCAAAATTCAATGAAGATTAAATGCATATAATATTATCAAGATTGGGATTCTTATTTCCTGGAGTTAACAGAAGCGCTTCTTAAAGCGACATCCGCAAAGCAATTAGCGGTACGTGTCTGCAAAAAAATAAGACGTTAAACTAAAATCTTTTTAATTTTAAAGATAAATAGATTTCGTGCTGTGCAGAGTTATCTTATATATAAAATTCTCGTGTCACAATGTTAGTTACCATACTCCTCCGAAACGGCCAGACCGATTTCTATGAAATTTTATATGCATAATCCGTGGGTCTGAGAATCGGCTACTATCTATTTTGCATATCCTGAAGTGATAATGGTTGTTCACCTGTAACGTAGTGTTCTGAAACCTACAATGCGCCTTGTATTGTAATATAATCGTAGTGTTCTCATATGGGTTAGGAGGAATGTTATCCCAGGACATTGATAGAACTCTACGTTATACACCCCTAAAATTGTTTTTGGACATTTTTTTTTATAATGTGGTATTAAAAAATACCTATAATGCGATTCAACTAAGAATAGGATCGACGGGCGCCATATTGTGACGTCATAGCTGTCAATTCAAACATAGAGTAGAGAAAGGTAGAGTGAGCAAAAAAGTTTTTATTTAATAAAAGTTATTTACTAAGATTAAGTGAGAAAAAACATCCGATTTTTTAATAAAATTTATTTACAAAAATTGAGAAAAGAAAATAACAGATTTTTAATAATATTTATTTATTAAGACTGTGCGAGAAAAAACATTAATTAGAATTAAGCTCTTCAATTCCGCTTATCTCTGCATTACCGCCGGAGTAGTTATGAATAATCATGCACTAAATCACATTCGAACATGTATCCTATATGTAAACCAAAGTTTTAAATCGAGTTTCTGAACGCAACTTATGGTGACATTTGGTTGACGATTTAGGTTATAAACATTCATAGCCAAAGCTCAATAAATGAAAATAAAATATCAACTAATATTAATTAACAATATTTGTTATTGTTTGTTTACAAATTTTTGGTTTTTATTCCATAATTAGCCGAGTGCTAAAAAAGGGTTCCAAGATTTTTTTGCAAGCCGTACTTTTCAAGCGACATTTAACAGATGGAGGTCATCGGCTTTCCTATTCTTATTTGAATCGCATTATACAACCCTAAATTTTCTCTTCTACCACCTGCTCCTATTTTTATGGCGGTACGAAGTTCGCTGGGTCAGCTAGTTTTATATTATAATATTGCTGGCCAAGGAACTTGTAAAGCCTTTCAAAGCTTCCAGTTTTATAGCACAAGGCCTCGCGTACGTGGAAATGCGTCGATGTTGTTACTGACCCCAACACATGATTACTGTGCAAATAATATCTATTATGAGCAATTAGGTTGTCTGTAAGTTTGCTGCTATGCAGACCCACCTTGATAGACTAGGCTTGGTGTGATTTGGTTGAGATAAGGACATTGCAAACGTTAGGCAATCTTATTTATGCCAATCCTGGTTGTTTTTTGCCCACGTGGAAGTTGGCGGCTTCAGCATTCATCATATTTTGGAGGTATGTAATAGGGATGATGACAATTTTTTTTTCTTCGTTTATCAGGTAGATTATCAAAAAGTATTGGACACGTATTTTTTCTTTTTTCACATAATATAAACATTGCAGACATATATTGATTTGAAAAGTCGCATGACGTCACGTTTGAGTACACTTATAAGTGAAAATTCACTCAAAAGTGACGTCACGAGCCCCTACTCATAAACTTTGACGCGCTATTACTTTGTCATTTTTTGGTTGATTGCCCAAAGAAAAAATACGTGTCCATTATTTTTTGATCATCTAACTAACGGACTAAATAGAATTTCGTTTACTGTACCCCGTCATCTATTATGTAAGAAATCATTTAAAAGAATTTCCTATTCACTCGCACCCGCATAATAATCAAAACATTTATACGACACAGCCATGGATACAAACTAATGTCTACACGTGTACATACGTATATATAGATGGACAATATTAAACATTCATTTAATACCTATGTACCTGTATCCACAGCTGAGCCGAAAGGGACCCAGTTCAGCATTGTGTCAGTTTTCACAGACGCTGTTTTTCAACTGAGTCCTTTTTCTGACATGCGGATGCCAAACACTATGAAACGATTACATAAAAATAAAAAAAACATTGTCTTAAGAAACATACAAAAACAATATGAATTCAAAATCATATAAACACAAACTGTTACACACAATATTAACAATGTTTATTAATTATCTAAAAGCTTGGAATAACAGTGGAAATTAATAAGGTAATATGTAAGCGTGCAACTTATTCATAAGACTCATCTAATAAGGAAGTCACATTACAATTACTTATTATAATACAAAACAACACATATACAAAAAAAAATACAAAAAAAAAACAAATCATGTAGCACTAACAACCCATTCTGCAATCAGGACACAGATGAAAGCTTATCACATCCTCAAAATGCCTTACTTGAAAATATCGGCAGCCACATAACTTACGTCCCCATAGCAAATTGGGCATCATCATCATCATCATCATCAGCCTATTAATGTCCCCACTGCTGGGGCACAGGCCTTCCTTATGGATGGAATAGGGAGTAAGTATTCCCGAGATACCCCGGGTGATCACTGCCGTGGAGCCCCGGCTAGGCCGGGAGGCTATTGGGTGCGGAGACGCGGTGAAATCCCTCAACGGGGATCTCGCGGTTCCGCACTTAACAGCGTAGAGGGTATTATGAAGTTCCACCCAGAATGGATAGAACCTGGGGACGTGACTCTTCAGTAAAACAACTAGACGATGGTTATTATTTTATATTATCATTCAGGCGAATATAAAGAATTTTATCTAAATACGAGAGGTTTTCTTGGTGCCTGAAGATCTAATCTTGAATGGAACCTTCTATCAAAAGACAGACGATTCCTTATTTCAAATCTTAAAATCATGACATTAACTTTTTAATATAACTGCCAACCGTAGGCATTGCAAAAGCAAAGAGTTTACCTAAACAAGGAGGCTGCAACGTCACGGACGTTACAGTATTCACAGGGGTTTTTAGAGGATAATATGCCGTAAGCGCTCGTAAGCAGCTACGACTGCTTAACGGCTTTTCCTTTTCGCATCCGTGAGACTTGCGAGAGGCTAGGTGTGGGGTCCGTTCGTTGGTGTGCCCCTTAGGGGCGCCAACGTCTGTAAATAGAGGTTTTGCCTGCGTAATTACAAAAAAGGCCGAATAGCTTATCATCAAGCTGTCCATTTGCTTGCTTGTTCCATAACATTAAAAAAAGTTGACAGCTGACGTTGCCATTGAAAATCGTCAAACTTTCGGAATTCGAGATTTTTTTAACATTGAAGTAAGCATTACTGGTAAGGTCCTAACTAAAATTTATCCCGTTTGAAACATTTATGGTCACTAACATTATTGCTATTAACGGGATCGTTACCATGTACCTTGTTTTTGCAAGCGCCAACAACAGGCGCAACAGTGCCGAAATATCGGAGACTCATAAAAAACAAGGTACACGGAGTTACTCCGTGATCATGGCGCTTGCAACAGTGCCAAAATATCGGAGACTCATAAAAAACAAGGTAGTAACAATCCCGTTAATAGTTATAATAAAACTTATCCTGTTGGTCACCCTATGCATACGTGTGCATACGCAATAGTTCGTGACAGGACACAGGCAGGTCTTATGCTGGTTTTATTTCGGTACAGATTTCGGCTTTGTGTAACGATAAGTAGAAGTCATGTCTCTATGTAACTCGATTAATTCAGTGTCATAATGTTCATTTAATAGAGTTTTTAGTCGATATAATAACATTACATTTGGACTTACTCTCACTGTGACATTAACCAATTTAAAATCAGTTATGTATAGAAAAAATCTACACATATCTGATTTTTTGTAACTGTTTGAGACTTTACAATAACATAAAAAATATGACAAAAATACGATGGGTTTCAAAAAA